CACACACAATTTCTAAAATAAATAAGGAGTTTGAAGGGGTTTTTTACTAATTTTTTTTTCCCTGCTAATGCAAACACCTAAGTTGTCCTCAGGGACTAAGGTCTGGAAAAGAAAAGTTTATAGCTTTTAAAATTCAGGAATCATAACATGAAATGTTTTCATGTTTATTTCCAGCTAACTTTAACAACAGACCTGAAGAGCATGCACAGAAACAGCAAATGTAAATACAATTGCATTTTCCTTCTTTACCTGGGCATTTGCATGTTTTGTGTTAGCAGTTTGAGCAAAACATTTGGATAATGTGCACCTTGACATACACCAGATTATTATTTTTTCTTCAGAAAACAGCAATTATTCAATTCAGTAATTAACACTTGTCTCAGTTTTGTAGTTCTACTGTAAGTGATCTTGTTGATTTAAATGTTTGATGATTAAACTACTCACCTGCATGACATTAAGTGCACCCTTTGCAAAAACAGGCTATCGTTCAGGATGTGTTCTGAGCACAGTGTCAATTAACACGCTACTTTTTATGATTCTAAAGCTAGCTTGATTTTTTAAAAAATAATATCATTACGTAGGTAGCCTAATTAGTAAATGATTTGCCTCTGGCTTGCATGTTTCCAGCACAGATAAGGTTAAATATTTTCCTTTACATAAAAAAGCAGGTTATTGTTATTGCTTGTCAGGAGGAAGTGGTGATTATTTCAATTTAACTCTGTACCTTTAACTAGTGCTGTTATTTCTTGTTTTTTGAACTAAAGTGTACTTCTGTTGAGGCTGATGGTAAATGTGCTTGAGGCAGCCACAAAAGAATGTAACAGAATCACACATCCTCTTTCACCTGATCTTCAGACAATTTTCATATCTGGTAAGTACTAAAATAAAATAGATAATCTAAAATGTATGTATGTGTGATGAATGTATTAAACTGAACACGTAAGTAGGAGTGTACTCACAATGGTGGGAAATGCTTAAAAAATACTTATTGATTCCCTCCAAGTACTGAGAATTTTTTTCCTTATAGAAATCTGTCTTTTTCCTGAGATCTTTCTTTATCCATTGTCTTCTGCTTGTGTGATTCAAGTAATGTATTCATATTTGAGATTGTAGTTTAGTCTTACTTTTGAGTACTCACATATTGCTTTCAGAGTGAAAAGAAATATGATAATGTGGATAAAGTGGAAAAATAGTAAGCTAAAAATGCAAGGCCTATATATTTTATTTAATATTCAGAACATAAGTATGTTTGTGTGCACATGCATAGACATATGCTCATATGTAGTATATAAATGATGTTAGAACAAACACATGCCCCCTTACATATATGGGTGTTTATTTTTTTTATAATTAACTAATACCTTGATGCTAAATAAAGCCATAAATACTCAGATCACAAATTATAAAGGTGCCTATTGAAAGACTGTTAGAAAGATTTAAATTGAAAAGAAAATTGTGTTTATAGGAGTTGTGATTCGACTTCCTTTGCAGCCAGTGCATCTTCTTAATGACTTCAGTGAATGCTGTTTCAAATTCAGAAGAGGAAATCAGCTCCAGAGATTTAAATCAGGTCCTAAATCTGATCTCTGCAATTCTGGTTTCAGTTTGAGTCCTTCTCTGCTACTCTCATACGAACCGTTCTGAGGAAGCTTTTGCTGGACAGTGAAGTCCTTTTCGGAATAAATGTGTGACTGGTGGTGCCTTTGTGAATTCCTGTGGCATCAGGGAGAGTACGCAGCTCTCCCGTGGTGAGTAGTTGTTGTTCCCTACAGGCTTTCTGCTGAGCTCTTCTGAGGACTACAGAGCCCTTCTTCAGTGCTAATCTGATGAGATCTCCTTTCTTAGTTCGCCTTGCAGGCTGTAGGAAACACTTGTGCTCCCTTTCTTTTAAATGCCTTCACCTTGTCTTCTTCCTTCCACACGTTACACTAATGTTTGAGAGTGGCTTTGGCTAAATGGAATGAAGAGTGACTGTTTTATGGAGAATATATGCTGCCAGGCTCTCTTTGTGTATTTTAACCGTGTATGTCCTAGAAAGACATGAATGACAGCTACCTAGAAAGGTATTTTTCTTGCAACAATAAAGGAACAGTTTCTAAAATAAGAACCTAGATAGGTACCCCTTTAGTGCTGTCTAACTGGAGAGTTACTGTGGTTGCAGCCAAGAGCAAAGGGTAGCAGAAACACCAAGCAAGGGCCCGAGCAGCTGCCTGGCTGCGCTCAGAGGAGGGTAAACCAGCAGACAGAGACTGGAGTTGGTCAAAGATGGGCTAAGGGACCACAGCCCCAGGTGAACCGTACAACTTAGCTGCTTGCCTTGTACAGCTTTGCGCTTCTGAGAGACACTTTAAATTGTTTAAAGCTCACTTCAGAAGGTGTTGGAGCACTTTCAGGCTTTTATATTCCTGTAGCTTCTACAAGTCAGCTTTGAAAAGCCAGTAGAGGAAGCTGGAGAGGTGGTTAAAGATCTATTTAAAGGACCGGAAAGCCAGAGAAGCTGTGATACTTAAGCAACATCATATGGTACGGGTCTTTACCCATCTGCAGCCTTCTGTCATGAGCCAGCCTCCCCAGATGAGTCATAGGGAGTCTCATCCTCATAATGCTTTTGGAGAGTGTTCAGTCCTTTCCCTCCCCCAGCTTCCCTGTTATATCTGCACTGCATCTGCCCCACTTTTACAGATTATCTCTCTGTCTCTCTTTCAAAACTGAGGTAATTCCCAAACAGGAAGGATTTGTTTGTCTAGACTTAAAGTTGACCCATATGCACTAATTAGAGCAGCACAACTAACAAAAAGCAGAGAAACTCTGGATGAAACTGCCATTCGCAGCCTTAGCAAATATGGGACCTCATGTCCTCCAGTCCCTGCAATCACTGCATCGCTGGTAGGTGCCATTCTTACAGAGCAGCTAACGGAAAGAAGAGGAGGACTGAACTCATGCAGGGGAATGCCAAGGAACTAAATCTCCCACCCGTGCATTCCTGTGTGAGGTTAAACAAGTTATTTAAGCCCAGCTTTGAGCCTGTGGCCACCAATGGGATGTTCCCCATTTCATGACTTCAGACTCTGTGATCTGATTTGCAGAAGTGTGAGCCTGGCTGCAGACAGAGTCAATGGATTTAATCCTTTACATAGCTGAAGTCCTTCATAATGCTAAGCACTCTCAAAAGTGATGTTAGCGGGGGGACAGCTGTCTCAAACTGAACATCTCAAGTAGATACTTACTGTAATGACTCAGTGCTTAGATTCCTTCCCTGTAAAATAAAGGTAATAAGACCTCCTCGCCACAGGGTGTTGTGGAAATTAATTAGTTACAATTTGTAAAATACTTAGGTATCACAGTGACAAAGAAAATACATTATTTTCATAGAGTGCAGTGAATAACACAAAGATTTGTGCACTGAACACAAACAAAAGAACACCAGTGCTCAGTCTGGTCTGTTCATGGGTTGTGTACTATATACTATAAAAAGCAATCATCCTGGCACTCTTAATTTACCTCACTAGTGTAATAAAAAAGGAAAAGTAATGCGATGTTAAAAGTGCTGAGACAAACGGATAAAATACCAGAGTTAAAAAAAAAAAAAAAAAAAAGTTAAAGTACCGTACCGTACCGTATTACTGTTATGGACTATACTAAGGTAGTGCTGTTTATTTGTTCCATATTTCCCACAATACACTGATTGCCATTTTCATAAAGAGTTTCTGAAAGTGAAATCTAATTTACTCCAATTTCTTGTGGTACAAAGTCAATGTGAAGTAAGAGTCACATATTCTCTTATATCATTTATTAGCTCTGTGAATAAACACTCCACATGTAAGATTGTGCTCTGAATGATACTGACACAAGCCATCCACTTGCCACAACTGCACATTGTGCTGCAGAGATATGTGATTTGTTGAGATGCTCCTGTGTATTGTTGATATAGTTGAAGTGATGAGATTCCTCTTTGAATAAATGTTTTATTTCCAATTGCGTTTTTCTACTTGTTCACATTTCTTGTGCTGTTTATTCAACCTAATCTACTTTATTTTCTTTTCAGAAATCCTTGGGAAAGTATTTTGAAGTTCTTCTCAACATATTTTTCTTTCTGAGAAGTGTACTGCCAAAATGAATTTTGTAAGTACTTAATTGGTAAACTATATTAGTACATCAATGAAGCCGTGAATTTGGAAGTCCCAGATCTTTGAGGCTGCTGGTCCAAATGCCCGAATCTCAGGAGTGATTAGCTGAAGAGACGTTTCAGACAGTACCGTTCACTGTCAGAGCATGCTGTTTATTGGGTTTGCACTCTCCTAATGTAACTCCTGGTTTGGTGCTTGTGGTGCAGGTAACTGTGTCTCAGGCTAGCCATACTGGGTTGGCTCTCCAGCTGAGTGGAGAGAAGTAATCATTTTGGGGCTTGATTTAGCCAAGCTACACTAATATGAAATGTATAACATGCTAGAAAGGGCTGTTCCCCTTCCTTAATGATAAAGGAAGTCTAGACCCCTGCTTCAAATTCAGACTTTTACACTGTAGAGTCTTCTGTGACGGCAGACTAATCTGCATAATGTATTTAAAGATGGCAAACTTTGGGCCATTCAAAGAGATTATCTTCATGTTCATATTTTAGTTAAGATTTCATGAAATTCCCTAGTTAGTTCTTACAAGTCTCCTCTGCAGTGTTAAATGTATTTGTAGCTGGGGTGTGTGGTGGGTGGAAACAGTGTAAAACATGCAGCATTGGAGGAAACACCAGTGGTGTGGACTATCTTGAGATGAATTTGATAGAGGCTTGAAGCTGAGACAGGGGAAGGACTGGACAGAATTATTACAGTTATCATGAGACAAAAGTCACTTCCCTTTCAAATCAGCAAGCCATATAATACTTGCATACTAATTTTCAAAAGATTTGCAAAGTACCTTGTATTTGTATGACTTTGTTATCTATCGTCTTTCTGCTATACAGAATTAGTGATTAACTCCTATGTGTTAACTGATGATCTTTTTTACAGACGGAGACTCATACCACAGATTACCCGTATTATTCAGACTATGCTTCTCTAATCACACAACCTTGTTCTAAGTTGGAAGTCAGGAACTTCACAAAAGCGTTTCTGCCAGTTGCGTATTCCTTGATTTGTGTCATCGGCCTAGTTGGTAACATCTTTGTAGTGATGACCTTTGCTTTATATGAAAGAACCAAGTCCATGACGGATGTGTACCTCTTCAACATGGCCATAGCAGACATACTGTTTGTTCTCACTCTCCCACTGTGGGCAGTGAATTATGCTGCTGACAAATGGATTTTCGGTGATTTCATTTGCAAAATGACCAGAGGCATCTATGCAATCAACTTCAGCTGTGGCATGCTGCTTTTGGCCTTTATCAGTGTGGACCGCTACATTGCTATTGTACAGGCAACAAAGTCCTTTAAACTCAGGGCAAGAACGCTCGCCTATAGTAAATTCATTTGTTTGGTTGTGTGGGTATCATCAATTTTAATCTCTAGTTCCTCTTTTCTATACAGTGAGAGTTACAGCTTCTCCACCAATGAAACCAAAGAGATTTGTGATCACAGATTTGACAGAATGTCTGAAAGCACAATGTTGAAATCACTGCTGCTGTGTCTACAAGTTGGATTTGGATTTTTTATACCTTTCATATTCATGATCTTTTGCTACACGTTCATTGTCAAATCCTTACAACAAGCTCAGAATTCCAAAAGAAACAAAGCAATCCGTGTGATCGTATTAATTGTAGCTGTTTTCCTAGTTTGCCAGGTACCTTATAACATTGTTCTTCTTGTGGCAGCCATAAATATGGGCAAGATAGACAAATCTTGTGACAATGACAACATGATGGCCTATGCAAAATACACCACTGAAGTCATAGCATTTTTACACTGTTGTGTGAACCCTGTGCTCTATGCATTTATTGGGGTGAAGTTCAGAAGTTATTTTGTGAAGATAATGAAGGACCTATGGTGCATGAGGTACAAGAAATACAATAAACGTAGTTCAAGGACAAACTCTGACATTTATCATTCAAGACAGACTAGTGAAATTCTGACTGACAATGGATCTTCTTTTACTATATAATACAAGTTGAAAAACATCATTACTGAAGGACTCTTCTCACCGAGCAACCCAAACCAGTGTCACTGTGCCTGTGACAGCAAGTCATTTGGGCTTCTCTGCACCTCTAAGGGAGCTCCCATGATCTACAACTCCTTTCAGAAAAAGAATTAAGTTAAAAGAATAACACCGTCCTGTGGAAAACTGAAATCTTACTCACCTCTCTTAACATTTACGCTCTTCTAAAGTGCACTCTCTTAGAATTAACAGGAAAGTGAAGTTTACAGAGGAACCCTTGTTGTTTTCTAAGGAAAAATCACACCTCATCCATCCTACATCACTGAAATATCCCAAAAGTACTAAGTAAATGAATCAGGTTACGTCCGGACTCATTCTACTTACATTTATGTTGTTTCTGTTAATTACTTCTACCCGGAAATCCTATTTAAGTATAGGTCTCCACTGTGCTTTTGTTGCAGACAAGTCATGCCGTGACAATATTAACCTAAAGAGATGGCATTTTGAGCAAAGCACAGCAAGGGAAGCAAACAGAGAAATGAAGAAACAGGCACAAGGCTGCTGACATAGCTGGGCTCAGGTTTTAGGTCTTGTAATCTTTGCCCAGCTGCTCCTTGGGAGTTGCTTACACCAAGGTTGAGGCTGGTCAAAGCCAACAGTGACATGTCTACTAAAGAGAATATTAGAAAAAAAGAAAATTATTAATTAAAGACAGCACTGAAATATCCACAGAAAGGTTTTTGTGACATCTCCTGAAATTATCTTCTGAACAGAGAATGGAGCTTTGCTTGAGAGACTCTTCTCTTCATTTGGCACAGGATTCAGGTGCTGGAATCCACCAAAGCTGACAATCTGGTGAACGTCTTTTCATGCTTCACACTCCATTTTTTAAAAGGTGGCAAACTGTACAGAACTGCAATTATTCCAACACTGTTTGTTGGAACTTGATCAGTGAAAAAACATGATGCGTTTCTTGGTATTTAGCTACCATTAGCAAAGTTTCCTTAGGAATGGATCTACTGGCACAAATATGCATATACAAAGTTTACTTTAGTAGCTTCAGAAATTGTTAAGGACTATATCTAAAAATAAGACTAAATTCTGACTTAATTCAGCCAGAATTTTTACTGAGTCAGCATCTGACTCGCTATGAATATAGGAATATTTATAATAAACGCGATTAGTTTTACGCAGTCATGAGTTTTCAGTAAATCCTCAGTGGACCTTCTGCTCATTGAGCGAGGTTCACCACACTGTAGCAGTCATGGTGAGATGGCGAGGCAGACAGGAGCAGGAGCTGGAGGGCAGAGGGGCAGGATGGAGGAGAGGAGCACCACTGTTTGCAGTTTGCTGAAGTACCTACCAGTCCTCTGCAGTTCTGCTGCAATGGGAGCATAAGCTGTGATGGTGTCTGGATGTGTGGGACATTGCACTCCTACGGCTGTGTAAATTAATGCAATTTGCAGCTTGCTGTTTACATTGATTGGGTTTTTTTAAAGTTCATGGCTGAAGAGCCAGCGGAACATGGATCACTAACCACATCGTTCAGTGGTAATGCAAAGGGCCAAGAAGGGCAGTGCTGGAGCTGAAGATCCCTTGAGGAAGGGCATTGATATGGCATGACATGAAACCGGTACTGCCTTGGCTGGTGCAATCCATCCTTGTTTACAGTGCACTGTGAGGTTTTTAAATATCAATGCCAGGTGTGGTAAAGATTGCATATATTTATCATGATTGAATAGCAACTTAGGCAAGAATATGATATAAAATTATGTAAATGCAGACGCATGCATTTGTTGTATATAGCACTGATGATTTTCTGGAAGAGAATTCAACAAATAAAAAATGTAACTGAAAAGGAAAAAATTCCCTCAGATCTAAGTGTTTCTTGCTACATCTATTGCCTTGGAACATTCTCCTATTCAGTGCCAAATCTCTCATATCTGAACAACGTAGCATCTCTCCCTCAGAGGCTGCATGAGGGAGTGTGCCCTAGGGTGAGAAGTCCACGTCTGAAGCCCACCGAGCGCTATGGCAGCCCTTGGGCAGAGCCCCACAAGGCTCGAAAGCATATCCCCCCCCTCCTGGTCCTGCTGCCATGCCTACGTTGGTCTTCTATCACTGAATAACACAAACAGTGCCCTGATGGCCGCCAGGGTGGGGATGGGAGGCAAGATGGCAGCCAAAGGGCAGTTGCTGACCCTATCACTGTCACCATCCTGCTGGAGGGGGCTCGCTGACAGACCCCAGGCGGAGAGGGAGGGCCTCGGGGCAGGATGAGTGTGCCATAGCCTTCGTGAAGCGGTTCCTTGCCCTCCGGGTGAGGGAGGAGGGGGAAGAGAGCAAAGCCTCCCACAGCCTGGGACCTTCCCAAGGGAGAGGGGCCTGCCAGGCTGCCTGGTGGGTCACCAGCCCCTGGTAACTGCGAGGAACCCTGGGGAGTTGGAAATGGTGGTGGTGGGAGATGTGCCTCACGTGGGAGGCAACACAGCCTGCCAGCTGCTGTCTCGTGGGAGGGAAAAATGCTCACTGGAAATGGTGTTGAAAAGTAGAAAATATACCTAGCTGTTCCCCAGTTCTCGTGGGTGAGAAGTGTTGCTAAGGAAGGGGAACATGGCACGTGTGTGGGACTGAAACAGTGCTTGGGTATGAACTCTGCTGATGCCAAGGCCTTGCTAAAAATCCCACTTGAGGTACAGCCGAAATCTCGATTGCCATGAATGATTGCCTTGTCTCTGGGAGAAATGGGGGTGAAGGATAGGATGGGCTCTCAGGGGGCTGGGGAGCAGGTGGCACCGCAGCTCCAACCCGTGGGGTGCTGGCTTTCTTACTCAAACTTTGAGGGCAACTACAGAATGGAAGTATGGGTGGTTAAAAATTTAATTTATATGCAATACCTTCTTACTATTTTTTGTGAAATCTATCATAAGGTAAAAGAGCAAGACCAATTCAGAGAGAAAGCAGTGGAGGACTTCACTGCTCAATGTTCCGTGGCAGGTTGGCCAGTGGATGTTGCTGATGGGCCCTCAGATATTGTGTCTTTCCTTCAGTGGCCATGTCAGCAGAACTGACAGGTGAGCTGGGATTGGTGTTGGGAGTTTAGGGCTTGAAAAGAGCACAGATTTATAGGAACTTGGGTGTTACTTTCACTGCTTATGGAGTAACTTTTCAGAGCTTGCCATGGATGCTGCTTTTCATTATTATTTTCATGTTGTGGTAGCTGTGCAGTACACTGCGTAGCAAATACATTGTGAAATTTTCTTTTTTGTTGCATGTATTCCAACCGTTATTTTTGAAGAAAAAAGGCTTGTTTTTATATAGGTCCTTGTTTCCTTCCAACATACTGTGTTGTGTCATGTCGTACACACAGAAGATGCGGCTGATAAGATTCAAGAAGACAACTCATATCTTCCTCCAGCTGGGGCTGGGTTGTGGTCTTGGCTGCACGTACACGGTCTCTGCTTGTTAGTGGGTTCCATTCCACTTTTGGTGGCTCCATGGTGGCCCTGCTTCACACTTCCCATTCAAGCAGTTCAGAAGGAGGTAGGTCCTCAGTGCACAGTTTAAATAAAGGCATAATATCTCAGTGCAGACAGCCTAAAGCTAAATCTGTTTTCTGACACATATCATCTTGAAAATGCACTTAATTTATTAATCTGCTCTCCATAAAAAGTGGCGATTTCCTTCCGATGGTATTTAAATTTCATATGCTATCTTTTCTATTTGTATATTAATTTTCTTAGAAGAATGATCACTACAAGCTGGTGAACTTGCAAGAGAGTCACGGTGGACAGAAGAGATCAAAGTCCTTTGGGCCTTGCTACTAGCAAGGAAAGGCAAAAGAAAGAAAATGAAAATTATATGCAAAGATAGATAACAGTTGGAGATGATGAGTGGAAACTGAGAGAAACAGGAAAAAACAGTCTAGAGAGGAACATTCTTGTGATGGAAGGTTATTGATAATGACTAAAAGCATAATAGATATAACTCTGATTTTATTATTTAGACCAAATTCTGCTTGGGATCTTTGTAGGGCAATCTTGTTGACTAGAATTGTGAAAGTTTTTGGTTTTGTTGCTACAAATGTAGCAAGATGGTACTTGATGCTTTCAGAATTTGGACAGAATTGGAAAAAATAGTTTTAGATTAAATGGGAGTGATAATGTTTTCAAAATGTCAAAACAGTTTGTCTCATGAAACTTCTAACATGTTTTGACATTTCCGGTTAGTTTTCAGATATTAAAATAAAAGCCAAGGCAATGATTTCACAGAACCACTGAAAGAAGTTCAAAATCTGTTTTTTTATCCTGCCTCAGGGGTATTCCCTCCTACCACCTCCTGCCACCACCTGTGGGTTAGGAGCTCATACCCTCTTTGAAGCAGTCTATGCAAAGGGCTGCTCCAAAAACAAAAAAAAGGAGGATGTTTCACCTTAAATTGTACTACACCAGTAGCCCTTAATTCTCTTCTGGGCTGTTTAGTTGCAGGTCCTTCAGGCTGAAGAGGGAATTAAATGACATCTCCTCCACTGTGGGTGAATGACATGAGACCTGGTGGTAATGATGTGAGCACTAAGCAAGGAGTTGTTCTCTGGGCAGCTTTGAGCATTTGTAAGTTCCTCTCATGACAAGTTCCTTAAAACAAATTCTCCATTTTTGGTTGAATGAAATCCTTTATCTAACCTGAGTTGAAAAGCCTCTGGGTTTTATTTAGTCAAGAAAAAAAATCTATTTATTAAAAAGTTATTTTGATGGTGAAAGTTCTTACTCACCAAGTCAGGATCCCTTTACCTACAAACTGAAAAACTTGTTGCTTCTACAATTTTCTAGCTGATATCCATAGTCGGTTTTCTTTGGATTGATGGTATTATGTAACCCAGCTGTTTATCCTGATGCACCGTTCATATTTTTAATGAAACCATCATCTTCTGTTTATTTACATTGCCTTTTTATTAGAAATACATACTGAATTACTGCATTATTGATCTGATCTATGTATATAAAGCTGAGCTAAACCAAATTAATATTCTTCTATCAAAACTTTTAAAGCTCTTATTCCATTTTAGTA